AAACTCTTATTGGTAGTCACCTAGTTGATAGTCCCGACACGCTCACGCTGACCATTGACATAAATTTCTGTGTCCGTATCTCTGTTGTCAGGAACGGTGGCCTTTAATAAAGAATCCAAGTCATCTTTTTCTCCGTAATATCTGAACTGGACTAGAAGCTGTTTCAATAAGTTAAGAAAAAAAACTCAAAAATGCAAAACTTATTTGTTTGTAAATGTTTCTTTGGATTTATGGCGCACCAACACAGTATAGGTCATATGGTGCCAAAACAATTAGGATGATTTTGGCTAACTTCGGGCATTACAAAATCTCACCTGCTGGGTATTACTTGACAATGAAAATGTTTTCAGTGGCTATTAGTTGTGCAAAATTGCCTACTCAGAAAAAAAGCAAATATGACTTTACTTATTTTTATTGGTTATCTTGTCTAGGCCATAGTTTTACACAGGTTCCTTGATGGAAAATTTTGTATTGATATATTGAGAGACAAGTATTGAAGATATATCAATATATATCAACATTGACAGTAGGTGCAATCAATAACATTTAAATATGTGTAATAAATTGGGATCATGGTGTTATGTATGCTTGTATAAGACATTACAAATAATATAAACTAACAGAAAGTTTGTTTTTTCTGTTATTTTTGTCACTGACATTTGAAAACAGAGTTTTAAGTTCAAGTTAGTCAAGAAAACTGGGAAAAAGTGACTTTTCTTATATGGCAAAATAGAGAGGTATATTCACTAACAGAAATAAATAAATTTTAGCTTACATCAATTTTTGAAAATGTGTATCGATATTGTATCTGATGACGAATATCGATGATATATCAATATTGCGATATTCAATGACAGCCCTAGGTTCCTGTATTTTTCTCACATTCCAGCAATACTGGGTATGCACTGTGATGAACTGTATGACTATTATTTGTTTTTCAAATTGTCTTGAATTTTTTTGTAATGTGGTGATCTTTTAATACATTAATATCTTTTAATTTACATGTTATATGGATTCAAAGATAAAGACATACAACTGCATATAGCCTGATTTGCAATTTATCATTAAGGGAGATCACTTGTTGCATAATGTGTAAAATGTTTACTACAGGGTTTGTTCCCTTAGATTCATCTACTTTATTATGCAAGGATAAGTGACATAGTGAGCTGAATGTTGGCACTTTCCTACCGAAAAAAGGCTAGTTCGTGTACAGAGTTTCAAACTCTAAATATAACTTATATATGATGTTATAATGTATCTTTATAACACAATCAAAGTTCACAACTTATTATCCTAAGTACATTAATAAACTGTTTAATTCACTTACCAGCTGACCTAGCTCTGCACTGATTGCACATGCATATCTTTACTTATAATCACAAAATCAAAGCATTCAAAAGAAAAGGATACAGATGAATCAAGGAAGATAACTCCGAGACTTCCAATCAACCATGGCAGATGTCTCAGAACATAGTTGGCATCTAATTGTCGCACCAATATAGATAGTCCGTAGGTAAGATTACCTAAGACAGCTAATATAAACATCAACACTGACAAGCCATCTGTAGACTTTCTTTTGTACTGAAGAAAAGACAAACCATAAAGGGAGGTAATTCACTATTTTCATACAATCTCCTACGCAGTGATCTCCCCTTACAGCAGGATTAGATCTCTGCCATCACAACATTTTCGTCAAGATTTTTGACGATATGATTTTTTTCATTTTTTTTATTTATTTTAAAAAGTAAACACGGTTTTGCTAATGTTTCAAGACATAATGTATTAGATGTAAACTAATATAAAAAATAATTTCGAAAACTTAAAGTAGCAAAGCGTGACGTAACTGCTCTGCCATCACAAACATTGAAATATCAATATTTGGATATTTATATTTTTTAGCTTTTTAATTTATTTTTCATAATTTTGTATACTTTTGATAATTTTTTGATAAAATATAACAGACGTAGGTACAAAAAGTTTAAAATAAAACAAAAAGAGAAAAATGACGTTAGATTTTCTATGTAACGGTCGATATTTACATTTGAATTTCGACGTTACGTCATGTGACTTTCATCATCATGTGACGTCTGTGAAGGCAGTGATTACAATTCTGCCAAGGGAGCTAATCAGTGTGAGGAGTTTGATTTTCATATTGTTTAATGTATAGTAAAGGGAGGTAATTAATTTTATCCATTTTTTATTGTTTTCAGAATCAATTACATTCAATGTTCATACAATATCACTTTAAACGTTTCTGGTTCACTTCACAAACTATTCATAGCATCAGAGCAATATTTAAGCTAATACCCAGAACCTATACGGTGTCCTAAATTCTAAGTTATGATTGAAAGTCGAAATAAATGTTATGTTTTACACTCATAGATAATTTGCGATTACATGTGTCCATCCCACCTAAAATTAACCAGTGGAATATTCGTATTGGATTTACCTAGCTTTGAATAAAAGAACAGTTGTCTAAATTTTAGGGATTCCAATACCGAAATATAAAAATTGAGCTACAAACAGTATAGACCCTTATCAGACTGCATTAATATGGAAGGCTTGCCTGGCTTTATACAAGTGATTGAGACTCAACACTTGTGGATTCAGAAATTTAAGGGTTAAACTTAATACATAAAATATATGAAAGGAAGGGTATTCTAATAAGAAACCATCAATAAAATGTTTCCTACAAAAGATGTCTCTTTTGTGTTTTTATACTAACTCATAAATGCTTAACTTGCAGGTTTCTTTGACCATGCCAATAAAGCTTTTTAAAACAATGATTCAAGATTCACTTTTTGGAACTGTTCATTAGCAGTTTTCATTAAACATGTATCTGGATGAAAATTTAAAGTTATTTGGCCAATACAGAGTAGAGCCTGGTCAGATTTCACATATATGCAGGCTGGTCTGGCTCTATACTGTTGGCAAAGGCACTGGTCCCAGTATTATCATTATTTTCCCTATTAATCATTTAATATAGAAAGTAGTATGTTAACTTTTTACCAAATTTGTAACTTTAAGAGTTGAACTTACATTTTTCCACATCTGCCCTAATCTAGAAAATGTATAGAATACACTAGACACTACCCCTATACCATAACCAACTTCATCTTCTATATTCTGAAAGTAACAAACATTACACATTTTTAACACAATTATCTATAAATTCTACTGGTAATTCTTTTTAAACCAAGTAGAAAATATTGGGAAGAGTTGACGGAAGGTGGTGTTGGTAGTTTTCACTTTGGATCACAGCAATAAGTCACCTTGATTGAATTTACCAGACTGAGAGCACAGTTCAGTCACCGCATCGTTCCTGGACAGGCTGTCAAGCAGTCTACCAGTACTAGTTACCTTCACTTTCACAAGGAACTCATAACTTCTGTACATGCCAGGGCAGAGGTTCAGTGCGAATGACCGTAGAAAGGATTTCATGATCAATCAAAACGGAAGTGACCTGCACCTTTCTGGTATCGAACACCGATCACCCAATTCACAGTCAAACACTCTACCTTTTGCTCTAACCGGATGGCTGGCAAGAGCTGTCACATTGACAGAGCATGTAAGTACATAAGAATCATCCAGGGATATTCAAACTTCATTAAAGGGAAGTAATTAGATCATAAGATTCAATATTAACTTAAAAGTTGAATTAAATGTGGACTTAAAACGGCATATGTTAATGAAAAATTAGACAGAAAATCATAAATATTTAACGAAATATGCCTGTTTAAATCCAAATATTAGGATCCTGATCCTAAAATTGATTAATTTTTTGATCCAGTAATTCAAATCGTTATTTTCAACTTTTATCCCAAAAAGTTTGTTTCTTTGCAAATAAGCAATTTTTTACATTTTGTTTCAGTACCATATTTTTTAGCCTTTATAAGATCAAAGTTAATTGCAATGCAGCAATATTGATAAAATCATAATATGAGCCGCGTCACGACAAAGCAGTATGGGCAAAACCCCTAAACGTAACTGATAAAAAAATTATTCATTCTCATAAATATATGACTCATTTAAAACCCACATTACATCACATGATATAAAATCATTCCACTTATATAAACTATGTGTTATAAAACATGCATTTCAAAATACATCCATTTAAACATTGACCTTTAAAACCACAAAATACCAACTATCTATTAGTCACTGTAAAATCAAACATGCCTGTTTTAGCTATCAAATTACTCACTGAAGTGGATGTATTTTATTGCCTTTTAAAAACATCATCTTGGATGTGATTTTATGGGTTGTTTAACACACAGAAAATACATGATATCAACCTCTTCTGATAAATAAATATTTCTGAGAAAAAAAAATCAAAACATAATCTATTTATATGGTTGTTTTCTAAAAATTTAAACATATCATTCCACTGAATCATCGTGAATAACCATTAAAATGCAGGAATGTGAAAATAATGCAGGAATCGTGCAAATGTAATGCTGAACCTTTGCAAAGATTATTACTGAAACAATTCTGCATAACTTCTGCACAAATCCTGCATTATTTTCACAATTCCTGCATTATTTTCACATCCCTGCATTATTTTCACATCCCAGCATTATTTTCACATCCCTGAATTTTTTTACATTCCTGCATTATTTTCAAATTACGACGTAATTGGATATAATGGTGTGAATGGCCAAACATATTTTTACATTATTTTAACCAGTTTCCAGTCCATTGTGGTAAAAAGACCTCAGTCTGTTTTCAGATGACCCTTCATGCCCTTTTTAAAGCCAGGGGTGCTTATCTCCCTCTTTAAGTGCCAGCCAATATTCGGCACCATTTCCCCTAAAAAGTTTGTTTCCCCCTCCCCATATGCAACCAAAATCCCCCTTACAATTGAAAACCAGATAATCAGCTTACATTCATAATTATAACACGGAAGACACAGATAAACCTCAGTTACATGTAAGTCTATTTTCAACATTTGCTATAATTTAACTACTTTATGTATGTGCAGGAAAAATTGCTGTTTAAGTATTTTCCAAATTATTAGGATATTTCTGAGTGCTTGACAGTCAAAAAAGGGGCATAACTCTGTAAAAAAAAGGTAACTCAGAGCTATAATACCTGTGCCCGTCATGTAAGATAATCACAGAAGTTTGTGAAGTTAAGTTTCAACTAGTTTTGGAGATACCCACTTGCACAAAAAAAAACACAACAAAAAAAAAACAACAACAAAAAAGCAGTTTCCCATGACTGAGTTAAAAACAGGTAAGTACATTTCACAATTGACAAAATCATCTGTGTAACCCTTATCAATGACAAATTCCTATTTTCACACATTAAAACATGATTGCTAAAATCATTAATAATCAATGTCACCAAACTGTAAACAATGCCATTGAATGCATTTAATGGTGCATCATAATCATTGAATAACATTTGAGATTTACATTTGTTTTACAGGAAGCTAGTGAAATAGCATGCTGAAAGACTTTAACCCTTACCACCTTTAATATCTTTAATAGACTTGTCCAAAGACAAAACCATTCATCGATTTTAAGGAAAATTTCAAAATGAGTATTGACTGAATAGCTAACAGTGCAGTCCATGATAACTTAAGAAGGCATGCATGCACACCATGATTAGATGGCAAAGACTGACTGATCTTGATCTGCACTGTTCACATAGGTGTATACAGTTTCCATCAGCAGACACTTTGTTTGTTTGTTTGATTGGGTTTTACGTCACACCAACACAGTATAGGTCATATGACGATCTTCCAGCCACCTCAGGTGTGGTACCCGAGTAGAATCACTGACACTAAGTAAGCTAGCTGGATAGCTTCCTCACGTGAAAATCCAAAGTCCATGTCAAGATTCGAACCCACAGCGGTGAGGAGCAAGTGGTTAGAAGTCAATGACCTTAACCACTCAGCCATGAACGCCCTGCTAGCAGACACTAAAAATATGTGTTGTGATATATTGAGATCCAGTCAACCTATATTTTTGCAATATATTGATTGTTATGAAAAATGATATAATACTAAAGTCTAAAGCTACTTTAACTTTCAAAATGTTATGAGCTCTACAAACTTAACTATTTTTTAATAACAATTAATGTTCACTACAATCTTTTGTCCTTATCAAAGAATAACAAGAGCTGTTGGTAGGGTAACAAGCTTGACTATTTGAGTTGTATATTGTAAAACAACAGCCTGGATAATGTAAAAGTTCAAAAGGGCATACTTCTGTCAAAATCCATGTAAGAGTTATGGGCCTTCAACAGTGAGTACAATAGCTCCCTATATTCTTTGAATAGTTGAGCTAAAAAGTATCGACACAGAAAAGGTCACATGGCAACTGTGGAGGAAGACCTCAGGTGCCTGTCTGTTCATTATTACAGACATGAGCTGGCACATGAGTAGAACCACCGGTGTTTTCCGTAAGCAAACTTGATAGCTCCTCACATGAAAGAATTGAAAGTCTCTATCAGGATTCAAATTTGTATGTATAAGAATCAAACAGAACTTACATTAAATATGTGTATATGATACTGCAGATCATTTGCCATGAGAGATCTTCCTGCCGGATGATGTACTATTCTTGTAGAACTTACATCTAACACTTGTAAAGATTTATGTAAACACAACAATAAAGCTCCTGAGAAACACAGAACAACTTGAGGTACTCCTGACGTTTGAATGCTTGACTGAATAGGCTCATAATCTGAAACAAAACAAATGTTCTTTTAAATAAACACTTTACATAACACAAATCTGTATGGTTCCAGGCTTTTTCAAGTTTTGCATTGTAAATGTAAATAATTTTTTGCATGTTCCTGGCTCTTCATAAAACTGATAATCACTTTATGTGACAACGATTTTCAAGCAGACATTCTATGAACCTTAATGGTTACAGCATTCTGCATAGTCTAGTCATTGATCACAAATGAAATGAGCCACGCCATGACAAAACCAACGTTATGCGTTTGCGACCAGCATGGATCCAGACCAGCCTGCTCATCCGTGCAGTCTGATCAGGATCCATGCTGTTCGCTTACCAACTTTATTACAAGTAGAGAATATTTTCAGTCCCATCATGTCCAAAAACCTCAGTGGAGTCCCTTTAAATTAATGTTAAATTCATACATGCCACAGAAAAAGTATCCAGCTAGCATATGTAGTGTTTTTTTATTTTGAAAAATATTTACCTTTATATTTCTTTTTCCAGTATAAATTGTAGTATAAGAATTGAGCAAATAGAATCAAATCAGCAAATACAAAATATACGGCAAGATATATCTGAAATTAAAAGAGAAAGATTGTGTGGACAATAATATTGAACAGGTGAAAATCAAGAAAGGTAATGCAAATCTATCATACATGTATATAATCCTCAGACCCTGAGGAATACTGTTTTAAGTAGTTAAGTTAGCAACACGGAAATATTGGCATTTTCGCGAATTGACAAAATTCGCTAAAATTTATTCTAGCATAAATATCAACCAACCTGTCATTAAATCCTACCCTTGCATGATTTGTTAGTATTTCCTCGCGTGAAATGTCTGGAGTTCTAAATTCGCTAACTTTTTGACACATGGAAATATCCACTGATGCAGTAGTACATACTTTTAATCCAAAAAATCCGGGATTTTTATTGATTAAATATCAAGTTCCTGTGATCGAACTAAAATAAATTCTGTATAAACCAGTAGGTTAAGGGTTATCTTCAAGTTATTGGTCCACAGCTTGCTCAAGTTTTCTAGGGTAGAGTACAGACTCTGTATTGGTTGCAGGAAAAAATAAAAAAAATAGTGAAAGTATTATAATTTAACATTATACTATACAATAATAAGATCATACAAGTACAATACAAACATAGGTACAAACAAAAAAAAGATCATTTGAAAATATTAAAACCATATGAGCCGCGCCATGACAAAACCAACATAATGGGTTTGCGACCAGCATGGATCCAGACCAGCCTGCGCATCCGCGCAGTCTGATCAGGATCGGATCCATGCTGGTCGCTATCAGTTTCTCTACTTGTTATAGAGTTTGTAAGCGAACAGAATGGATCCTGATCAGACTGCGCGAATGCGCAGGCTGGTCTGGATCCATGCTGGTCGCAAACACAGTATGTTGGTTTTGTCATGGCACGGCTCATACGTTATTACTCATCAACAGTCACAGATTTAAAATCCTACCTGGAGAGGAAGTTGTTTGGTAAGGTAGCCTCCAACAAGATTTGCGGTGTCTCCAAGAGTCCACATTAATATCAGCATTAACGATATTCCTTCCACTCCTCGTATATTACGGAAGTTCTTGATCATTTGACTGAAAATATAATGTTCAATGCATAAAATTTAATATTAACTGATTTTAAACAGACAACAATGAATAAATAATTCATTCTTTCTTTTGATTTTAGCATAGCAAGACTATAAATGTTCAAATGCCAACTTCACACTAGATGGATACATTAGAGCATACTTTCTTTCAATGTTTCTGAATTCGGAATTCTTTCAATCATGTTAAACCATTCAAATTTTTTTGGGAGAAAATTTCAAAATATTTACTGACTGAAAATCAAGCAGCACAGACCATGACCACACAGAAGGAAAGTACCAGCTGATCTTGGTCTGCACTCGGGTTGTATGGTTAGAATCTGTTGCTACCAGCAGGTTAAGGGTTATGTAATAACTTATGCTGAAGCTACAAGGAAAGCTTCCTTCATTGAAAGGCAGTTTATCAATGTCTTTGGCAATTTATTTAAACCCCCAGCAGTGAGTAGCAAGTGATCCAAAGTCTAGCTGTGGCCATTTCCACTGCCTGAAACAACCATACCAACACAACCCACCATCATAGCTTAACTCCTAATAGAAACCTCTTCCTTTAAACTAGAACTCCACGAGTCGGATGTGTCGCCTTGTGAACAATATAGTTTAAGAGAAATGGCCAGGACAAAAATGAAATTTGAAAATCAACAAAGGGCAATAACTCAAAAAATAAGAAATGCAGATCAGCAGTTTCTGTGCATTGCACTTCTTATTAATAAGATTTATCATCCTATTAAGTTTCAAGTCTAAAGATTTTATAATTTATGAGAAATGGCTTGGACAAAATAAAGTATGAAAATTAACAAAGGGCAATAACTCAAAAAATAAGAAATGCAGAGTACCAGTTCTTGGGCACTGCACTTCGTATCAATAAGATCTATCATCCTATTAAGTTTCAAGTCTAAAGCTTTTATAATTTATGAGAAATGGCCTGGACAAAAATAAAGTATGAAAATTAACAAAGGGCAATAACTCAAAAAATAAGAAATGCAGAGTACCAGTTCTTGTGCACTGCACTTTTTCTTAATGAGATCTATCATCCTATGAAGTTTCAAGTCCATAGCTTTTATACTTTAGGAGAAATGGCCTGGACAAAAATAAAGTATGAAAATTAACAAAGGGCAATAACTCAAAAAATAAGAAATGCAGAGTACCAGTTCTTGTGCACTGCACTTTTTCTTAATGAGATCTATCATCCTATGAAGTTTCAAGTCCATAGCTTTTATACTTTAGGAGAAATGGCCTGGACAAAAATAAAGTATGAAAATAAACAAAGGGCAATAACTCAAAAAATAAGAAGTGCAGAGTACCGGTTCTTGTGCACTGCACTTCGGGTCATTATAAGAAGCATGCATACCAAGTTTGAAGTCAATCCGACTTATAATGACTGACTTATGCTCCGGACAAGTTTTAGGGGACGCCGACGCCGCCGACAAAAGTAACCCCTATATGTCGCCTTTTTCAAGGGGACACAAGAAACACAATTGTACATGGAGTTATAATAGTAGTATACATGTATATCTTTTTTTTTGGTTGGTTTTACTTCACTCCAACACAGTAGTGCTCATATAGCGAGCTTTTTCAAGCTTTACTGGTGGAGGAAGACATTTCAGGCACAAAAGGGCACATGAGTAGAACCATCAACATTCCATAAGCTAGCTGGATAGCTTCCACACATGAAGGATTCAAAGTCCCAGGCAGGTTTCAAACCCATAGCAGTGAGGGGCCAGTGGCTTTAAGTCAACAAATCTTAACCGCACAGTTACAGAAGCCTAGTAAATGCAAGATTAAATAACGGCTTACGGTATTGATACAATCATCCATGTTAGTATAGACGCAAGTCCGAGCACTTCCGAGGCTATACCCTTCCCGTTCCAAACGCAGTCATTTAGAATCTTGTAAATCCACTGTACACCTTCACTACAGTTGTTGCTGGTAATGTTTGCTGTAGCACCAACATTATACACATACAATGGTTGCCATGGCATAATGTAACGTCTCTCTTTATATCCAATAGATTTGATTATTAATTTCTGTTTTTAACGGTTAATCCTTATTTTAGTACATGTATCAGACAAAATGGGTCTTTATTTTATTTATTTCAATCCAACCTTGCCCTTTCATTTAACCTGAAATGAAAAAAAATAATTGTATATTAGATCGACTAAATGTATTAATGAACATTAAATCCTTTTTTAAGGAAAGCACTAACAGGTTCAAACACTAAATCCACTAATTACATATTGTACATTACTTCACTATAAGTACAATAAATTCACTCACTATAAATAGCATTATACATTAAATTCACTAACTACATCAAACAATGAATCCATTATTTGCATATTATACATTAAATCCACTAATTACATATTGTACATTTATCCACTAATAGCATTATACATTTAAAACCTATTGTACACTAAATCCAATAATAGCAATATACATTTAATCCACTAATAACCACTAAAAGCATATTGTACATAATATTTCACTAAAGCATTATACATTAAATCCACTAAAAGCATATTGTACATAATATTTCACTAAAGCATTATACATTAAATCCACTAAAAGCATATTGTACAAAATATTTCACTAAAGCATTATACATTAAATCCACTAAAAGCATATTGTACATAATATTTCACTAAAGCATTATACATTAAATCCACTAAAAGCATATTGTACAAAATATTTCACTAAAGCATTATACATTAAATCCACTAAAAGCATATTGTACATAATATTTCACTAAAGCATTATACATTAAATCCACTAAAAGCATATTGTACATAATATTTCACTAAAGCATTATACATTAAATCCACTAAAAGCATATTGTACAAAATATTTCACTAAAGCATTATACATTAAATCCACTAAAAGCATATTGTACAAAATATTTCACTAAAGCATTATACATTAAATCCACTAAAAGCATATTGTACAGTATATTTCACTAAAGCATTATACATTAAATCCACTAAAAGCATATTGTACATAATATTTCACTAAAGCATTATACATTAAATCCACTAAAAGCATATTGTACAAAATATTTCACTAAAGCATTATACATTAAATCCACTAAAAGCATATTGTACAAAATATTTCACTAAAGCATTATACATTAAATCCACTAAAAGCATATTGTACAAAATATTTCACTAAAGCATTATACATTAAATCCACTAAAAGCATATTGTACAAAATATTTCACTAAAGCATTATACATTAAATCCACTAAAAGCATATTGTACAAAAATTTTCACTAAAGCATTATACATTAAATCCACTAAAAGCATATTGTACAAAATATTTCACTAAAGCATTAATACATTAAATCCACTAAAAGCATATTGTACAAAATATTTCACTAAAGCATTATACATTAAATCCACTAAAAGCATATTGTACAAAATATTTCACTAAAGCATTATACATTAAATCCACTAAAAGCATATTGTATATAATATTTCACTAAAGCATTATACATTAAATCCACTTATTACATATTGTACATTAAGTATAGTATAAGCACAGCTGCGCAACCAAATTAATTTTGTAAATACATACTACCTGGTAATAAATTTTGTTTTAAACTATTTTTATAAACAATCGATTTACTAGACTGATTAACAGTTTGACGATTTACCAAAGTATATGTGATTACGCTCCATTTGTAATACTGCAATCCTATTGGACAGAAAATAATGTCAAACACTAAATACACTAATTACATATTGTACATCAATTCATTAATAGCATTAATACATTAAATCCATTAATAGCATCAATGTACATTAAATTCACTGAAAGCATAATACATTTAAAACCTTCGTACATGTAACATATTATACAATTAATCCAATAATAGCAAAGTATCTATTAATGGCGTAATACATTAAATCTATATAGTATATCATACATTAATAAAAATTTTAATCTATTAACGTAATAGCACCGTACATGAAAATTAATCCACTAATACTGTAATAGCAATGTGAACAACATAGAGCAACATACAGTATAAGCTGCTCTATATTCATATTTGGTTACAAGACGCACCAAGCCTTTTAATTGGACTTTGACTAATTTCATTTAACTATCATCTGTATATGTAAACAAAGTAATAATTTGATGGTGATAACACAGTTTCATATATTAATATAGTGATCAAAGTTAATACTGCATAAATAACAACATTCTTGACCCTTCCCTTGCTGATTTTTTTATACAATGGACTTATCCTGCTTGGAATTTGAAATAGTCCAATGTTAAATCTATAAACCTTAGCCGCTGACTTTATTATATAAACCTTTCCCAAAGTTATAAACATTATTTTGCTAACTTTCTTATATTAACCTTTCCAGCTTCCATTTTTGGACATGTCAATTTAGGGTATTCTTGATGAAAAAGATGAAAATCTTAACTTTAATCAGCCAACAGTACAAGGCCTGGTCAGACGAGTGTCCAACAATACAGGGCTTGGTCAGATGAGTGTCCAACAGTACAGGGCCTGGTCAGACGAGTGTCCAACAGTACAAGGCCTGGTCAGATGTATTTTCAACAGTACAGGGCCTGGTCAGACGAGTGTCCAACAGTACAAGGCCTGGTCAGATGTATTTTCAACAGTACAGGGCTTGGTCAGACGAGTGTCCAACAGTACAAGGCCTGGTCAGATGTATTTTCAAACAGTACAGGGCCTGGTCAGACGAGTGTCCAACAGTACAAGGCCTGGTCAGACGAGTGTCCAACAGTACAAGGCCTGGTCAGACGAGTGTCCAACAGTACAAGGCCTGGTCAGACTAGTGTCCAACAGTACAGGGCCTGGTCAGACGAGTGTCCACAGTACAAGGCCTGGTCAGACTAGTGTCCAACAGTACAGGGCCTGGTCAGACGAGTGTCCAACAGTACAAGGCCTGGTCAGACGAGTGTCCAACAGTACAGGGCCTGGTCAGACGAGTGTCCAACAGTACAGGGCCTGGTCAGACGAGTGTCCAACAGTACAAGGCCTGGTCAGACTAGTGTCCAACAGTACAAGGCCTGGTCAGACGAGTGTCCAACAGTACAGGGCCTGGTCAGACGAGTGTCCAACAGTACAAGGCCTGGTCAGACTAGTGTCCAACAGTACAAGGCCTGGTCAGATGTATTTTCAACAGTACAGGGCCTGGTCAGACGAGTGTCCAACAGTACAAGGCCTGGTCAGATGTATTTTCAACAGTACAGGGCTTGGTCAGACGAGTGTCCAACAGTACAAGGCCTGGTCAGATGTATTTTCAACAGTACAAGGCCTGGTCAGACTAGTGTCCAACAGTACAAGGCCTGGTCAGACGAGTGTCCAACAGTACAGGGCCTGGTCAGACGAGTGTCCAACAGTACAAGGCCTGGTCAGACTAGTGTCCAACAGTACAAGGCCTGGTCAGACGAGTGTCCAACAGTACAAGGCCTGGTCAGACTAGTGTCCAACAGTACAAGGCCTGGTCAGACGAGTGTCCTGCCTTTATACTGGTGGCAAAGGCAAAAAATTATATATATAATGAAGACTAATCATCATTGTTTTGGGAAATTTCTAAAAAAAATACTGACTGAATAGCGAACAGTGCAGACTATGATCAGATAACATAGACATGCTGGCTGATTTTGATCTGCAAAGGTAGCAGGGGTAAATTTTGCCAGAAGACTATGGGTTAATTTCTTTTGATTATTTCTTTTACTATAGAAGCAATAATTCTGAGCGTGATGATGGTATATGGCTTAACCTACCCTATTGACCATACCTGTATGGTTTAACCTACCCTATTGACCATACCTGTATGGTTTAACCTACCCTATAAACCATATCTGTATGGTTTAACCTACCCTATTGACCATTCCTATATAGTTTAACATAACTCTATTGACAATTCCTATTTGGTTTAACATAACTCTAATCACCATTCCTATTTGGTTTAACATAACTCTAATGACCATTCCTATATGGTTTAATCAATACTTATTAACCATTCCTATATTGTTAAACAAACCCTATTGACCATTCCTTTATGGTTTAACCTACTCTATTAACCATTCCTATATGATTTAACCTACCCTATTAACAAATCCTGTATGGTTTAACCAGTAACCTATTAACCATTCCTATATGGTTTTACCGAACTTATTAACCATTCCTATATGGTTTAACCTACTCTATTAACCCTCCCTATATGGTTTAACCTACTCTATTAACCATTCCTATATGATTTAACCTACCCTATAAACAAATCCTGAATGGTTTAACCAGTAACACCCTATTAACAAATCCTGTATGGTTTAACCAGTAACCTATTAACCATTCCTATATGGTTTAATCTACTCTATTAACCATCCCTATATGGTTTAACCTACTCTATTAACCATTCCATTTATGCTTTAACCTATGCCTATTAACCATTCTTATATGATTTAATCCATACCTATTAATCATTCATATATGGATTTAACCTACTCTATTAACCATTCCTATATGGTTTAACCTACCCTATTAACAATTCCTATATGGTTTTACCTAACCTATTAACCATTCCTATATTGTTTAACCTAACCTATTAACCATTCCAATATGGTTTAACCTAACCTATTAACCATTCCTATATGGTTTAACCTACCCTATTAACCATTCCTATATGGTTTAACCTAACCTATTAACCATTCCAATATGGTTTAACCTAACCTATTAACCATTCCTATATGGTTTAACCTAACCTATTAACCATTCCATTTATGGTTTAACCCATGCCTATAAACCATTCTTACTTGTATATGGTTTAATTCATACCTATTAATCATTCATATATGGTTTTAACTTACTCTATTAACCATTCCTTTATGGTTTAACCCATGCCTATTTACTATTCATATATGGTTTAACCTACCTAATTAACCATTCCTATATGGTTTATCCTACCTAATTAACCATTCCTCTATAGTTTAACATACCTAATTAACCATTCCTATATAGTTTAACCTTACCTATTAACCATTCCTATATAGTTTAACCTACCCTATTAACCTTTCCTTTATGGTTAAACCTTACAGTTATGGTTAAACCTATCTGTATCCTATATAGTATAACCTGTCCTTAGTA